AGAAAAGAAAGAACAGAAAGATGAGCACGGCTCGGGGAGACGTATCGGAAACTCCCATCGTGTTTTTAAGAACATCGATGTCACATTTAGTCGCTAACATGAGCTGCAACGATGAAGGAAAGAAGGCCGTTCAAGAACAAAAGCAACAATAAAAACTCTGTCTGACAGCGTCCACTGCCTGGTGTCTCTTTCAACACGTCAGTCTGAAGAAACGAGCCGAACACGAGGTTTTTACCTGATTCAGCCACCTGTGAGATGTCGACTCCCTGCTCAGCAGCCATGAAGCCCAGAATAGAAAACACGACGAAACCAGCAAAGAAACTGGTTCCGCTGTTGATCATCGCCAGGAGGAAGGCGTCTCTGCGGGAGGAGAGAGAGACGTGTCTGTGTTGAAACCTACTCAGTGCTGCGTCCCATTTATTTCACATTATGACCTACAGCTGAGCTTCAGGAACAAGGCCACGCCCCCACTGTCACTAACCCAACCGAGGTCCCGGTTCAGACCCGGGTCATCAGAGTCTGCGTGGGTTTCCTACCGCCATCAAAGGATCATAAAGCAGGGCCCTTCCAGAGACGTGCCCCCACCCTGAGTCTCCACCCCGGGTTCATACTCGCTCCGGCCACCACGACCCAGATCTACCCCCCCACCCGAGCCCTCCATCCTTTCCCTCCTGAACTTCCTCGCTAACCAGTAAACTACCTGTTCTGCCTCATTAGGCGTGGCCTTAGTTAGAGAACGGCCCCTGAGGGCCCGGGTCAGGGGACGCAGTATGTTAATGAGGGTCCTCGCACACACAAACGTACTTGTAGCAGTCGTTGTTGAAGCGGTTGTAGCTGCCCAGAGCGGTCAGAGCTCCCAGCCCGATGGCGTAGGAGAAGAAGATCTGAGTGCCGGCGTCGATCCACACCTGGAAAAGAGGTCAAAGGTCGCTGGAGTCCAAAATGTCTGTAAGAACTATAATAACATGTGTAACAATACAGGGAAGACTGAAGCCCAACTGCTCCCCTCAGTCCTAATAAGGACACCTCATCTGCAAAGTGCGGGGACATTTAAGGGCTCAGTTTCCGGGTTGGACCAAACACTTGATGATGCACGAGAACAAGACAAGAAGATATTTCAGAACTTTTTAGAAGAAATATTCTTTGATGAAACACACGTGATTAGAAATTAGTTTCCCTCCCTCTCTGCCTGAAGCTGATGTGTGCTGAGCGCTCTGGCGCTAAATGGCTGCCGTGCATCACCCAGGTGGGCGCTTGAGGTGAGTCCCCCCCCCTTCACTGTGAAGCGCTATATAAATGTAATTCATTATTATTATTCATTTTCTGCACCAATTTATGGTGGAAACGTGTTTCTTTAAATAAAAGGAAACACAAAATTCAGGTGGCAGTTCAGAATATAAAAACCTTCTGGAACATGATGCTTGTTTTTTTTAGCTTAGGTGACTTTTTTGGACAACACAGATCTGTTTCTTCTATAATTACATTGCAATTCTTATATCTTGTTGTGCATATAAACGTTTCCTGCATTTTCATCTGTTATTAAACATTTCAGAACATCTTTTACAAGTCTTTCAAAAAGTGATGGGGACAAAATCAGCCGTTTTAAAAAGGTGGTGACATTTTACATCCTCACCAGCACCCCGGACTTGCTGGATGGGTGTAGATTCCACGTTTGCCTCGCAGGCAGAACTCACGACAACGGTCGCCCGTGTGAACTGACCTGAGCCTCCTGCAGTTTGGACCAATCAGGTTTGATGTAGTACATGATGCCGTTGTAGGCTCCAGGAAGCGTGACTCCTCTGACCAGCAGGATGATGAGGACCACGTAGGGGAAGGTCGCCGTGAAGTACACAATCTGAAACACACAGGAAGGAGCAGGTTAGCAAGGATCCACTGAAACATGTTCAGCTGGTGTTTCAGGCTCGTTGGTTCGTTCTTCTACTCATTATCACTGAAAAATAAATCTTTAACTGACATGACCGCCGTACCGAGAAAACTGCGTCCGCACAGCAGAATGTTTCAGTTACAGTTGTGGACATCACGTCCGTTATAAACTCGTCTGGTTGGACGTTGCTCTGTTCGCTTTAATAACAGAAATGTTTAAAGCCTTTTCTTATTTGGGGGATTACCATTTCTATTGAAAGAAATATCTTCATAATCAAATGATCTTATCTGAAATTAATCTCCTACTGAGTTTACAAACCCTTCGGACTGGGACATGAACTGTAGCCGTGTGTGAGCTTAAAGGTTCGTTCACCAAAATCACAAACAAATTAAAAATCTCATTTCCTGTGTCTGAGTCATGCAGACAGTTTAAGGTGCTGAAGTACCTGCATCTAAAATTCTGCCTTTGTTTTAATGCAACAGGAAGCTCAAACAAATGACTTTTGAACTCAACATCTCAGCTAGCCGTCCTGCTGCTGATTCTGCCCGGACTGGAAGCTCGGTGCTCCGGGGGTGTTGTTCTTTACACTGGAGCCCGACCGATTTATCGCTTTGCAGATATTATCGGCTGATATAAGATACTTGCAGATATATCGGCACTGGCGTTTATAACAGCTGATATATGCACTTCTAGTCCTCTCATTTCTCCCAAGTTCATCACTTCTAAATATTATTAAACATAACGTACAGCAGCTAACGCTGCTAAATTAGCCACAAAGCCGATGCCGTGTTTATCCGTGGAGGAACATTGTTAATGTTAAACTACAGTGTTTAACGTATTCTAAATCTATCTGCGAGCCGCTCGTCTCTAGTTACAGTCCGCATGTCAGAAATTATTAAACCAGAGCGAGAATCTAACTCGGCTTCCTGCCTAACAAAGTTCTTTTAAAACGTTAGTGTGAAATCTCAGAGCTGCAGCTCCTCCCTGCAGACCGACTCGTAGCATTAGATTAATTAAAGAGCAGCGTTCCGTCTGGGTCACTGAACCGTAGACGATATGTCTTAGAAAGTGGTCATCGTGGCAGATTATATGTAAGGCAATAACTATTGCATGACAAAAATATGTATACAATAATTTGCTTCTGTAGGAGAGCCCTGTTTATCACTATTATTTTAGCAATGACATGAGAGATTATATATGGTATTATTCATAGTAGTAAGCAGTAGAAGTCTTTGGGTAATTTTTATAGTTTCTCCATAATTTATAACAAATGAGATATTTTGATACATTTTCTGTAGTTTTATTTGCCTCTTATTCATCAAAACTTTGACATATTTTTTTGCACTTTTGTTCAAAGTACTATTTATAACAATAACAAAGTTTATTTTTATACTGCATTATGTCACGGTATCTTGGTCTCAACATAACATTTTAGGGAGAATCTTTGTTTATGTCATGCGTTTCTTAAAATAATAAATAATATATATATCGGCTATCAGATTTTAGAAATCTCAAATATCAAAATCGGCGTCGGACTTAAGAATTCACCCTCTTTTCGGAGTGTGAGTTTTATATATGAAGGGGGACACAGTGGAGACTGAGGCTCACGGTCTGCCAGTTCATGTACTGAGGTCTTCTTATTCAACTGTGCCAAAGCAAACACAGTTTTTCGTTCTAAGGAATCTTTGATTACGTCTCTGACAGGCTGAAACCACAGGTGAGCTGTCAGCTGGCGAAACACGGTAAATTCCACCTGTGAGAATCAGGTAAAGTCAACATACTTTAAAAAGACGAGAAGAAACAAACACGAACCTGATCTGAGGAAACAAAAGGAGATGTGACCAGCTGAGAGCACACACACACACACACATGCGTGCACACACACACACACACACATGCGTGCACACACACACACACACACACACACACACACACACACACATGCCCAAAGGAATGTGGAGTTTCAGCACTGTGGAGAGCGTCTGGTCCCAGATGGAGTTGAGTTTCATTCAAATCACAGCGGAGGACATTTTAACACACTCACACACCCACAATGTCAGAAGCAGCTGTGGCTCAGGAGGTAGAGCGGGTAGCCCGTTAATCAGAAAGTCAGCAGTTCAATCCCCGGCTCCTCCAGGCTGCATGTCGAAGTGTGAACCCTTGGTGGCTGTTCCGCCTGTGTGCGAATGTTAGTTCCTGTTTGAGCACTTAGGCTGTGTGAATGTAGTGTAGAAGTGCTTTGAGTGGTCAAAAAGACTAGAAGGGCGCTATATGTGCACAATGACATGTTGAGGTCAGTGCAATAAAATCATAAAAAAAATTTATTCAAAAGTTCCATTAAGTTCTTGCTAATTTAAGGGAAACAATAACCAGCAGGTTTGATGATCTGTTATTCAGGTCTCAGATCTTTTTTTTAAGTTACCTCAAACTTTTATTTTTCCCTTCTTTTTATCTACCTATCTATTTATCTCTTTATTTATTTCAATTTATTCTACTTCCTTCAGCAGCTAGGCTGTTAGTTTGTCCTGCCTCTGTACTTTTATTTGCTTGATTTGATTAAACTGTGGTGCTGAAATGTTTTAAACTAAAAGCTTTTCAAACTTTATTTTGAAAAGCGCTGTGAATATTGTTCATTATTAAAACTGGTTTTAATTTAAATGAATCAGAAACACTTTTTTAAACATGTGAGGATGAATTATAATTCTTGCCTTTAGTGTGTGTTTGAGTTGTTGTATGAATGAACTGTCTCTCACTCTCTTTTTCCCTAGTGTATCTCAGCCTCTCTCGCCCTGCTCGGCTCTCAGCTTTCAGCTCCTGCTGACGACCAACAACAGAAACAGTTTGTGTTGATGCTGAGAGCCGTGTGAACCCTGCTGGAGACCTGAAACTCTCTCGGCCTGCAGGGGTCAGATCCCTGAAGTGTGGTTTTATTAAATATAAATATATATGTACACATTAGTTATACTTTACTGTTTGTTAAATTTGTTCAGCTGTTCTGGCTCTATGAGGATTCAGATGTATTCTACATCTACAGTATATAAAGATGGTACTAAAGTTAGTAGAAAGTACATTGCTCATACTGTATACACACATGCTGTACTGTACTGTCGCGCAGTATCTATATATATACTTCACATACAGTACACAAGTGTTTTCATGCAGTATCTATGAATACATCCAATTCAGTACATAGGTTTCTCTGTGTGTCTCAGTCACGTCCCACTGCAGTCAAGCTGCCCTCCCACAGGACAACCAATCACAATCTGCCACCTCACAAGCCCCCACGCCCCCCCCCCCCCCCCGTCATGTGACAGCAGTGTGTAGGACGTCACGAGCTAATGAAACACTCACACGGTGAATCACTGCTGCTCGCTCTCCTTCACACTCTGAAGGTTGTTCTTTAAAGGACAGACTGGAGGCAGCCTGTTAGCATTCGTTCACCTTCCACTGCAAAAGAGACACTGATGGACCTGATTCTTCTTCTTCTACTACTTTTATTCGGGGTGGCGTAGACAGGCGTGTGTTCTGAGGCAGGACAAACTAACAGCCTAGTTTCATAATAAATGATAAAGCTGTGTGGGAGCTGATCAATCAGCAGGATGTGAGTTCTTGTATTAATAACAGTGTGGCGACATGGACCAATCACACGCCGGCGTTGTGGGGACGTGACTGCCAACTTGTCAGCCAATAATCAACAATAATGATATAAAGTTTTTTTTCTTTTGCACCTTGCAAAGATGTGACCATAAAGTTCTTTACAGTATTAAACAGTATTAAAATTAAATTAAGCAGAAAAACAAATATGAAAATAAAAAATAACAACATGTAAAACGTTGGTGATTTGGGGTATAATTTAATTTTGGATTAAAGCAACATTGTGTGGTAATTTTATCTTAAAACAACAGCGTAACGCTTTACGGCACCATTCACCACAGCGCTGAATTACACTCTGAAACAGCAGGGACTCCACATCACACAGAAAAAGACATCTTACATAATGTAAGATTGCAACTAACCCCCGGGTTGGAGGGGGTTTAAACACATGCTACTGTCCAGGATATATGACCATGTCAGACTGTCAGAAGGATTCAAGGTTAGAAAGACTCTTTAAGATTTCACTTGTCTATCTGCCATAAATTGTAGCTGGATTTTTTTTACGACAGGTCATACTAAAGTCTTAAAACATAAACATGTCACATGTTCATAATCTTGTATTAATGACATTATGGGGACTCAGAGCAGATTACAAATTAACATTGTGGGGACTCGCATCCAAATCTAGCTTCAATTTTTAATAAGTTTAACCTTAAGTTTTTAATTCACAACTACCCCCATTTAGGAGTTGGTGCACAAAACATTTGATCATTTTTGATTGTTTAGACTAAAGTTAAAAGATTTAAGTGAGACCGCTTTGAAGGTAGGAAGAGATGTTGAAGGTTTCAGTCGTATGTAAGGTCACTATTTACTTTAGGTTAAGACTTATAACTAATTAGTTATGTTGTACAGAAATGAGTGGAACCAACGGCTGCCTGGAACTGTATAAAAACACCTAACAATAACTCTCAAACTCTTTAGCATGCTTTCACAAACAGCCAGCAGGAGATGAAGTTACCTTTCCAGTGGATTTGACTCCCTTCCAGACGCAGAAGTAAACCATAACCCAGACGGCCATCAGACACAACAAGAGCTCCCAGTTAAACTCTCCCATTTCTCCCAGACCAGAGGAGATGTTCAGCACCTTGTTCCTGCACAGAGAGAGGACGACGTTTACACCAAGCCAACATCATGTCACACAGCAGGTCTGAGCTTTCATCAAACACAATCTGCAACAGTATAAAACTCGCTAGCTAAACCTCTTGTTGACATTAATATCAGTCCGTGTGTTCAGTACAGAGCTATGCTGTGTCTCAATTCGCGCCCATCTGTACTCACACTTTCTTGAGTTTTGAGTTTTTAACGTATTTTCAAACTTGTGAAAATGAAGGCCGAGGAGCACGTTCATTTTTACTAAGACTGAATTGTAGTTAACTGAGCAAACAAGCCGGCAGATATGTTTGCAGGCGACAATCACAGTTGCCAATAATTTTCCGCCTGTTTACAATCTGCCATTGAACAGAAGAAGATCCATAGTCGATTTGAGACAACACTACCGTCGAATCGCACGCACTACGCAAGTAAGTACACAGTGTACTGCATGTGAGTGTACTAACTGAAGAATCGTATTGAGACACAGCTCTTGAGCTTAGCATACAGACGGGACACTGGGGGAAGCAGATAGCCTGGTTCTGTCAAAGGTAAAACAATGTGATGAGCATTTTAAGCTCACTAGGCTAAAATAACTATTAATGAGAACATAATTAACTCTTTAGTTTCAGACAGAACAAAGAAACTTCTTTGTAAATCACCAATAAAACAACAGCTTCCACAAAGACTGAAGTCACTCTAAGGAATAAAAAGTGACGGTCACTGTTCAGGGGACGAGCTGAGCGAATTATGTCAATAACAGCACCATCAACAAAACCAACGCTGACATCAGTAATATTGTAATAATATTATTATTTATTCATTATGTCCAGAGGCAGCACTTTAGGCACAATGTGTTCATGTTCATGGTTTGAATACAATCTGAAAGTTTAAAGAGAGAAAACCAGGATTAATTTCCTTCATTCAGTCACAAACTCTTTTATTCATGTACTCTGTTAGATACCTGTTCGGACCCGAGAGCTGCTGATCTGACTGAAATTCACACACTAATGAGCTCTGTCACCTGACCCACATTTTCACCTCGTCAACTGCTCGTTGTGTTAATAATCTGCGATGACAGCGTAGCCTCGCTGCTGCAGAGAGGCTCAGGCAATATTGGCAGTTTTATGAAAAGTGATGGGGAATCTAAAATGTGCTCAAATGTTTTCGGACTGCAGACTGCCAGCCGGTCAATCAGCTCACGGAGCCCTGCAGGCAACACAGCAGCCGACTCCAGCAACAAGGACAGAGGAAACCACAGCGGATAGTTTTACTGTTCGTCCCGTTGTTACTGTGTCTTTACATTCTGAGTAATGTTGGAACATTTAAAATCAAGAGACACCCGGCTCGTGATGATCAGAAAGTGAAACTTATAGACATTACCCTGTTAGTGTAAAGTTGTGGTCACAGCATGTGCTTTTTATTTTCTTTTATTTGATACAATTCTTATTTATGCACCAATGTACCAAAACAAATTCCTACTTGACAATAAACTCGATTCTGGCTTCTCAAACCGCCAGTAGCGGTCTGAGCGATCGCGACACTGCAAGTTCATTCTTCCAAGAACGACCAGCAAGGAAGTTCTCCCCAAGAACACAAGTCCGTTCTTTGTATTCTTGGTTTTGAGTCTTCGTGGATCTGGTGGTTTAAGCTCTTCCTGTCAGACTGTGTGAGAGCGCTATTCCCGTCACTGCTACCACGTGGACCCTGTTGATGTTGTGGGTTTTGGTGTTATGCAGAACACAGCAGGTCGACAGTTAGCCAGGCTGAAAACACACCGTCATATCTCAGATGGGATCAAGAGATTTGCACCAGGAGGAGGTTAAGCTGCTGCTGCTGCAATAAAACATAATCTGTAACGACGACGGCGACTGAACTGTGACAGAAAGGTCACATGTTCAGTCTGCTCAAGTCAGAGTTTGAACCCTCTGCACTTTCTGTGTAAGAAAATATAACCTGTCCTGTAATGATGCTGCAGCTGTTGTGCATCCTGTTCCATTTATCAAGATGAACAGTTTTAGACATATTTCATTTAAAGCCTCAGAGAGGACCGCCTTTTTTCACCTACGTAATATTGCAAAAATCAGGAACATCCTGTCTAAAAATGATGCAGAAAAACTAGTCCATGCATTTGTTACTTCTAGGCTGGATTACTGCAATTCCTTATTATCAGGCTGTTCGAAAAAGTCCATTAAGACTCTTCAGCTGATCCAGAATGCTGCAGCACGTGTTCTGACAGGAACCAGGAAAAGAGATCACATTTCTCCTGTTTTAGCTTCTTTGCATTGGCTTCCAGTAAAATCCAGAATAGAATTTAAAATCATTCTTCTTACCTACAAAGCTCTTAATGGTCAGGCACCATCTTATCTTAAAGAGCTCATAGTACCTTACTACCCCACCAGAGCACTGCGCTCCCAGAATGCAGGGTTACTTGTGGTTCCTAGAGTCTCCAAAAGTAGACTAGGAGCCAGAGCGTTCAGCTATCAAGCTCCTCTCCTGTGGAACCAGGTTCCAGTTTGGGTTCAGGAGGCAGACACCATCTCCACATTTAAGAGTAGGCTTAAGACTTTCCTCTTTGATAAAGCTTATAGTTAGGGCTGGCTCAGGTAGTCCTGAACCATCCCTTAGTTATGCTGCTATAGGCCTAGACTGCCGGGGGATTTCCCATGATGCACTGAGCTCCTCTCTTCCTCCCCCTCTCTGGAACTTGCTGCTGTGTTCAGTCCAACCCAACCAGATCCAACCTAACCCACCGTCACCTGTCCGATCTGAGCTAACCTGTCCACCACAACAAAACATTCCTCAGGTTCCACCTTCCTCATCCGACCCTCCCGCCAACACAGCATGACCCACTAAACAAAGCCCAACCAGAACTCACTCCCAGAACTCAATGATGGGCGATCGTGCGTTAGCCAGCTCGGCGCAGGTCATGTTGCCGCTGATGGTAGTGTTGGCCAAGCTGGCGTTGTTGCAGTCCTGGTGACGGAAGATCTCGATGCAGCTGGGCGTGTTCCATTCGTTGTCACAGGTGGACCAGGGGAGGGTGGCGCTGAAGGACTTGATCAGGTAGTAGAAGCCCCAGGCCAACACCATGATGTAGTAGGTGTTACAGAAAAATACAATCACCATGGAGGCATAACCCAGACCTGAGGAGGAGGAGAAGGAACAACAACATGAGTTCAGGACCATTTTCAACTAAACTAAATAGACATTAGTTTTATTTCTATATAGAACATGCTTTACTTGATGAAGGAGAAACCTACATCAACATAAACCGAGTGGTTTTGGTGTCTAAACCTGACCAAGTGGTTTTGGTGCCTAAACTGGACCACGTGCCCAAACCTGACCAAGTGGTTTTGATGCCTAAACCTGACCGAGTGGTTTTGATGCCTAAACCTGACCGAGTGGTTTTGATGTCTAAACCTGACCAAGTGGTTTTTATGCCTAAACCTGACCGAGTGGTTTTGATGCCTAAACCTGACCGAGTGGTTTTGATGCCTAAACCTGACCGAGTGGTTTTGGTGCCTAAACCTGACCAAGTGGTTTTGGTGTCTAAACCTGACCAAGTGGTTTTGGTGCCTAAACTGGACCACGTGCCCAAACCTGACCAAGTGGTTTTTATGCCTAAACCTGACCAAGTGGTTTTGGCGTCTAAACTGGACCACGTGCCCAAACCTGACCAAGTGGTTTTGATGCCTAAACCTGACCAAGTGGTTTTGATGCTTAAATCTGACCAAGTGGTTTTGGTGCCTAAACTGGACCACGTGCCTAAACCTGACCGAGTGGTTTTGATGCCTAAACCTGACCGAGTGGTTTTGATGCCTAAACCTGACCAAGTGGTTTTGATGCTTAAATCTGACCAAGTGGTTTTGGTGCCTAAACTGGACCACGTGCCCAAACCTGACCAAGTGGTTTTGATGCCTAAACCTGACCAAGTGGTTTTGATGCTTAAATCTGACCAAGTGGTTTTGGTGCCAAAACTGGACCACGTGCCTAAACCTGACCGAGTGGTTTTGATGTCTAAACCTGACCGAGTGGTTTTGATGCCTAAACCTGACAGAGTGGTTTTGGTGCCTAAATCTGACCAAGTGGTTTTGGTGCCTAAACCTGACCAAGTGGTTTTGGTGCCTAAACTGGACCACGTGCCTAAACCTGACCGAGTGGTTTTGATGTCTAAACCTGACCGAGTGGTTTTGATGCCTAAACCTGACCGAGTGGTTTTGGTGCCTAAATCTGACCAAGTGGTTTTGGTGCCTAAACCTGACCAAGTGGTTTTGGTGTCTAAACCTGACCAAGTGGTTTTGGTGCTTAAACCTGACCAAGTGGTTTTGGCATCTAAACCTGACCAAGTGGTTTTGGTGCTTAAACCTGACCAAGTGGTTTTGGCATCTAAACCGGACCAAGTGGTTTTGGTGCCTAAACCTGACCAATTGGTTTTGGTGTCTAAACCTGACCAAGTATTTCTGTTGCCTAAACCTGACCAAGTGGTTTTGGTGCCTAAACCTGACCAAGTGGTTTTGGAATCTAAACCGGACCAAGTGGTTTTGGTGCCTAAACCTGACCAATTGGTTTTGGTGTCTAAACCTGACCAAGTGTTTCTGTTGCCTAAACCGGACCAAGTGGTTTTGGTGTCTAAACCTGACCAAGTGGTTTTGGTGCCTAAAACTGACCAAGTGTTTCTGTTGCCTAAACCTGACCAATTGGTTTTGGTGTCTAAACCTGACCAAGTATTTCTGTTGCCTAAACCGGACCAAGTGGTTTTGGTGCCTAAACCTGACCAATTGGTTTTGGTGTCTAAACCTGACCAAGTGTTTCTGTTGCCTAAACCGGACCAAGTGGTTTTGGTGTCTAAACCTGACCAAGTGGTTTTGGTGCCTAAAACTGACCAAGTGTTTCTGTTGCCTAAACCTGACCAATTGGTTTTGGTGTCTAAACCTGACCAAGTATTTCTGTTGCCTAAACCTGACCAAGTGGTTTTGGAATCTAAACCGGACCAAGTGGTTTTGGTGCCTAAACCTGACCAATTGGTTTTGCTGTCTAAACCTGACCAAGTGTTTCTGTTGCCTAAACCGGACCAAGTGGTTTTGGTGTCTAAACCTGACCAAGTGGTTTTGGTGTCTAAACCTGACCAAGTGTTTCTGTTGCCTAAACCGGACCAAGTGGTTTTGGTGTCTAAACCTGACCAAGTGTTTCTGTTGCCTAAACCGGACCAAGTGGTTTTGGTGCCTAAACCTGACCAAGTGGTTTTGGTGTCTAAACCTGACCAAGTGTTTCTGTTGCCTAAACCTGACCAAGTGGTTTTGGTGTCTAAACCTGACCAAGTGGTTTTGGTGCATAAACCTGACCAAGTGGTTTTGGTGTCTAAACCTGACCAAGTGGTTTTGGTGCCTAAAACTGACCAAGTGTTTCTGTTGCCTAACCCGGACCAAGCGGTTTTGGCGTCTAAACCTGACCAAGTGGTTTTGGCGTCTAAACCTGACCAAGTGGTTTTGGTGAATAAACCGGACCAAGTGGTTTTGGCGCCTAAACCTGACCAAACTACCACTGTTTCACAACGTTTACCTCGTGTCATACTTCACTTGCCGGCGCTTGACCGTGTGGTTTTGGAATATCTGACATTCAATCTTTTTTGTTGGGTGTGTTGGTTTAAATGCAGCTCACCAACTGTACTGTTTTCATTCACTGATCAAGTCTACTGTTTTGCCTTTTCAGTTGCAGTTAAGCCGCTGTCTGTGAAACTCAACACTTCCTGCAGATGTTTCAAATTAAAAGGCTACCAGAAAAGGGAGGTATTTGAAGGTGATACAAGTTGATGGGCTGGAAGGCTTTTAATGTGAAAGAAGTGTACAGGAAGTGTTTCTTTGCTTGCTGACTGAACAGTTTAGTAACGGGAGCAGATCAGAAACAGGAAGGACTCTTACTGACACGTCAACTACAAATGTGTTTCTAATAAAAGTTTCAAAGGATCTTTGTAAAGGTGAAGTCACTGTGTGATCCGTTATATCCAAGTTTAAAATTAGTGATCAGAGAGTTTGTCTGCTTCCTAACTTGTTCTCCAGCAGTGCATATTCCTGCTTTAGATGTATAATACCCTCCCTCTAGCGCCACCCTCAGGATATCGCCAGGTGAGGGGAGCGGAGCGGTCCTGTATCTGTGAGCTGTTGACTGTTGGCGTTGCTCCATCAGACTGTGTCAGACTGAATGAACGTGAAGGTGGAGCTCTGTCAACACCGCCCGGAGCTGAGAGGAAGCGGTGTGTAAAGTAAACGGAGCTAATGCTGCTGCCATAAAGAGTCATGTGGTCACCTGTAAAGATGACGCCTCTGATAACCTCCGAGTGTAAAGCTAACAAAGATATAAAGGAATCAGGCGGCATGAGAGAGCTGTGTTGGTTTGCCAGCCGTGTCTGCAGGCACGTAGACCAGGATCACAGATTATTACCTCTTATTACCTCCACAGAAAGCTGAATGTGTGTTTGCAAACTGACGAGTCCGCTTAAACTCACCTAAACTGCTTACCGCATGGATTTATGTCTGTCGCCACAGCAACGTGACCTCAACATGGGGGACGTTAGGCGGGGGGGGGGTTTAGCCGTGTCAACAACAACAACAAATACTGTCGATGTAAAATGTGACACCTCTGGATGTTTGATCCTGATTTGTCCTTTAAGATACAAAGAATCTGACAGATTATTTCCCATCAACACGCTGGTTTCTTAGTTTGTTCCATGTGGTTTGATTTGATCGGCTTGTTACGATGTGGAAGGTTTTGATTTATCAACTTGCGCTCTATTCTGGTTCTGAACTATGCTGATCTTTTATATATGCACACCTCTTTTTCTTTTTTCCTTTTTCCTGCTTGTTGTTTATTTCTTTATAACTTTGTACAGCACTTTGTTCAACAGTGGTTGTTTTTAAATGTCTTTTTTTAAATTTCTTTCACGGCTGATTTTTGCTCCTGAGAGTAAATAGAAGAAACCAGAAGGTTAAACTTTTCTTTATGGTCAGATCACTTCACACATCTGAGGTAGAACATTCAAAACTACTGCGACAAAATCTTTTTCAACAAACATGATTACTAAATATTTTTTCAGTTGCTTTTCCTCAACAAAACAAGTATTTTAATAGAAAAATAAGTGCTAATTTGTTTGTGATTCAAATTAATTAAACCAAATATTTGTTGACGATATATTGAACACTTATTTTATTGTTATTGAGGAGAATTATATTGCCATAATTATCGTTATTGCCCTACTTTATAAATGAATTGACTTGGCTTGACTCGGCTCAGACTCTGCTGTATGTGGTTGACACGGCTTATCGTGCTTCCTTTAAGTTCTTTACCAATTGCAAAGCTGTGACTCACCACTGGCAGGACGTCCTGCTCTGGACACCTGGAGCCTCTCTGGCTGGTACACCTTCGTATAAGGCTTGGTCTGCTGCCGAACTACCTACCTTAATTAATCTTGTTAAATGCTTTTAAATCCAAAATGAAAGAATAAGTGTGAACTGACTCACAATGTGAGCTCACTTTTGTATTTTATGTATGCTGCTGCCTGTCTTCAGACCCAGATTCTTAATCTCAGTGGGCCTCTCCTGGTTAAATAACGGTTATAATAATAATGATAACAGGACAGAAATCTATAAATATAGTCACCAACACAGTCTTTTAGCAGCATGGTCTTCCTCAGCTACGTGTTTTTAAGCTCTAAATGTTTCGTGTTGTGAAGCGTTTTTGTCAGCTGATGTTTTCAAGGTGAAAGTAAACTTTGAGAGACGAATAAAGAATAAGAAAACGTACTTTATTAATCCCTCTAGAGCAAATTCTATTCTTTTGTTTTCACTCTGATGTTGTTATCGCACCACAGAGTTTTCTGGAAACAGAGGTGAACATAAACCAGTGAAACTGCCTCTTTATTTATTTATTTATTTGTTGGTGTTCCTTCTGACTTTTTCTTTCTTTCATCCCCGTGAAGGACTTCATCTCGATCTGACTCGAGGGTCTGAGGACAGAGAACTGAACAAATATTCATAATGCATATTTTAGGAAATGTTCAGGTAGGTTTGAAAACTTTGGCACCTCCTCCAGAATAAAACACACAACACTGAAACAGATTTGACTTTGGCCATTCCTCCGTGTTCTCCTTCATATCTCAGACTGTAATGAGAACAGGCTGTTCATCTAATAAAGTCTATCTGATAGATTATCTCAGGTGAAGGTCCTTGACCTCCTGCGAGGAGACACCACCTTTAGACTCTGTTTCACCTGGCAGAGAAAAAAGCTGACAGCCGTGAAATGAAATCATAAACACGTAACCTAACGCCTCGCAGGGCGGGAGATCAGAGAGAGATGTCATGTGACCCCTGGAAATTTAAAAACTGTGTATTGTAGTGGGCGAAGGCCGACGCAGAGACACGAGTTGTATCGGTGGCGTACTGCACCTTTAAACAGCGGAGCGATGTTCCACACGTTGATGCTGCCGGCCTTCATGAACTGTCCGAGAGCGATCTCCAGGAAGAAGATGGGGATTCCTCCGACAAAGACGATCAGCAGGTAGGGGATCAGGAAGACGCCTGCAGGAAGAGAAGCAGCTCGTTAAACTCACATCGCCGACCCGGACAGAGTTCTGGGGCTCCGTGACACAGATTAGTTTTTATGTGAGAGAAAAGGAAAAGTGTGAAACTGAAGTTTTCTGTAATGTGCAGGGTCAAACGCAGCAACCTCCTCTGTAGATCTGCAGCCTTGAAGGTGGCGACTGCAGGCCAGAGTGACTTCGTCTTTAACGGTCACTTCCTGTTCAGCTCGGTGTGACTGAACAGGAAGTGAACCTTCATCCCTCCATCCCTTTTATTAAAAGAACTAAACATACGTCGTCTCAGTGGACTGAAGGGAACTGTTTCAGATTTAGAGACCGATTAATTCGTTCTTTTTGTTGTTGCTCTTTGGATTCTGCTCAAAAACACATGAAAAGATGGAAATCCTTTTTAAAAACCTTGAAATACTTCTCAAAGTGTTTTAACCTATTTATTCAGGGGAGCTTCACTGAGAGGAAGCCTCTCTTTTGCAGGAAGGCCCTGATCACATCCTGGAAGCTGCCCCGTACAACTGAGGGCAAGCACTTTACTTTCCACACCCAGATTTTATCCTGCCTGTCTAGGGATTGAACCGGCAACTTCCTGGTCACCAGCTCGCTTCTCTATCGAACAAACCCAGAACAAGCCCAGAACAAACCCAGAACAAGCCCAGAACAAGCCCAGAACAAGCCCAGAACAAACCCAGAACAAGCCCAGAACAAACCCAGAACAAGCCCAGGACAAACCCAGGACAAACCCAGAACAAGCCCAGGACAAACCCAGGACAAACCCAGGACAAACCCAGAACAAGCCCAGAACAAGGTTGTTGCGTCAGTCAGGGGCGAGGGAGGAAATAAATCCTGACCCTGATTATTCTGAACCTGTTGCTGCTTGTAGTTTTCCAGGTAAATTCACCTGGTTTATTTTCTATTTAACTCTTTTGATGTCTATGTTGCTTTTATGTTTTATTGCACTTTAAACTGCCTTGCAGCTGAAATGTGCTGTACAAAAAGCAGATTCAGATTCAAACAGGCGTTTAGTCAGAGGAGGGGGTGACGGCTGTCTCGTTTCTCTATGGCTCTGTTTTTATGCTGTATCTGACTTTGCAACCCGGGTGAAAATAAATAAACTTTACTCATCGTCTGACACAGTTATCTCTGATGTTGATGTTACGCCGTCTAATGAAGCTCGTCTCCCAGAGAGAGATGAATGAACAATTAGTAATGCTCTCTCTCTCTCTCTGTCGTTGGTATTTTAATTGGTGTGATGGAGGCTTCCCACACAGCGGGGGGTAACTGGGTCACAGTGCCACCAGGAACTGGTAAGAATGGTATCAAACTGGAATGATAGTGGGAGGGAGGAGGAGCCTGATGATGGGAGGAGGAGTTACATAACAGCTGCTGCCGCAACCCAGAGAGAGCGAGAGACGTATATAAATATAAATATCATTAAACTGCAGGTGTCTCGTTAGCAGCTGACTGACTGATCGATCAAACGACTGACTGTGTGAACAGCTGGAGGATTATTTAAGGTGAGCCATGTGAGCTCTAACATTAGGCCCACGCTCCAGCCAATCAGAATCCAGTCTTCTCTCTCTCGGGTCATTCTGATGGTGCTTACAGGCTGCACACACTGAGCTCTGCTGGTGACGTTTGAGCCTCACAGACTCGACAGTCGCTGGTGACGTAAGCCTGAATGGAGCTGCGCAGGTTAGCGTTAGCCTGCTGCTGCTGCTGCTGCTCTGATCACACAGACATTGCTCTGTTGTGTTAGCCTAGCGTAGCGTAGCATGAAAACACACAAGCAGCTGGTGAGTCACGACCACAGGGGGAGGGGGGGGGGTTATTAAAATCCCCCTCACACACTCACTGAGAGCTCAGTGGTGTAACACTGTTAGCTCATCAGTAACTCAGTGTTGATGGGATTACAGAGCACTCTGGCCTCATCAGCTGCACTCACAGCACAACATCCAAACATTTCCATTTATTTATTTACCTGACAGGGAAAGAGCTTGTTAATTAACTGTGAATGAGCCATTGTAATTATTTCCATCTGTGGTCCCTGCAGCCAGTTATTAAAATCGAAGCCTGAAATAAATAATTCAAGTTAAATAAAATGACTCAGCTCAGTAAAAATCTGCATATACGCACTCTTTCAGTTTCTGTTCGCTCAAAGCAACAAGCTCAACGAGCAGCAACAGCAGCTCTGTGGACCCTGGGTCTCGCCTCTCAGGCTACATACAGGCCTCCTTTGCGCTGGAGGCTGTTTAGGCAGTAGGTAACCTGAAACACCAGCAGAGACACGTCAGGTGTGAAAGAGTGAAACCAGTCAGTGCTGAGAGATTTCTCTTTGTAGGAAAGATGCAAACACAACCATCTGTCAGAGTATCTCTGAAGCAGCCTGAGACGGATTTTAAGTTACAGCAGAGAGGTTTTTGGTGTGTGCAGCTCGTTATTACGACCCTTATTTAGGTTTATGTGGCCGTCCAACGGTGACATATAGCCAGGAAAGTCCGCGTAAGGAGGCGGGACGGGTCAAACCCAGGACTTCAGGAGCACGGTGTCCCACGTGACACCAAGTAACTGTTGAGTTATTTTGAGTTTTATCCTAAATATGTGTTGTGGTTTAGGTTGTTAGCCGTTCATATGGAGAACACAACCAAACTGACTGTGAAGTGTTGTTTGAACGGGAACAGCAGAGGCCGTCGCACAGCTCGGACTGCAGGTCGGCTTCAGGTTCACCTGAGACAGGGAGCTCACCCTAAAACCTTCATATTCTCATCTGCTGTTTCAGCTCCAGCCTTTACTCAAGTAACAGCATCAATACTACAATGTACAAATACTCATATACAAATAAAACTCCTATCAGAAGTATAAATACTTGTTTCTGAAAGTGGCAGTATTGTAACGTTGATCTGAGCCTGGATGTTGTCGGGTCGTGAAGTCACGTGTTTCCTGTGTGAAATATGGAAATGTGCAGCTGTCACAGAGACGTTCTCTGAAGCCCAGAGCTAACAACATGAAGACTTAGAGCGAGAGCAGGTGAGACAGGTGGAACGCCGTCCTGTACCGAACACGTGGTCCAACATGTGGTCCGTCCAGAGCTAAAAGGGAGACGGAGACAGAAATAGAGCCGCTGCTGCAGTGCTACAGTTAACTAGCTAAGATGGCTAATCCGGGGTAAGTCACTGGGCTAAGTACTGACAGGCTGGTGACAGAGCACGAGCTTCATCATCATCATCATCACTACCCTGATAATCAGACCGCCTCATTGCTCTTCATTCTTCAGCGTCACATGGCGTTCATGTCTGCTGTTTCCTGTTTGGGAAGGTGATGATGTCATGCAACCTGCAAACTCTACAGGAAGCATTCAGGATGAACTTTAATAACCTTTCACGCAGCGCCGCCTTCAGGTCGACATGTTAACGTGTCCAACACTTTGCTTTATCACCAAACACCTGCAGAACTAACGACATTCCCATCAGCCTCGGCTGCACACGTGTTTACTGTCAATTACCTCATGTTAGCATGCTAACATGCTAAGCTAAGATGCTCAATATGATCAACATTATACCTGCTAAGCAGCAGCACGTTAGCATGCTGACATTAGCATTTAGCTTGAAGCACCTTTGTGCCAAATGCTGCATTCAGGAAAGTTCACACATTAATCCACACGGGCTAGCCCTCATGCTAACGTTGTAGTCAGACCAGATAAACAGTTGAATTAGCTTTTGTTGTGCTACGTATCTGCAGCCATTTGTGTTAGCAAGCGAAACTACTTTAAATGAGCTGAATGGATGTGTGTTAATACTGGATTTCTTTTCATGTGACTGCCAGCGATCGGTCGCCGCAGTGCAGCGCCCGATAGTGCTGAAATCTTTTGACTAAAGCTTGATTTATACTCCTGCATCGGGGCTACGTGCGTAGCTACGCCGCAGGCTACGCTCCTAGCTATGCATTTATCCTTGTGCGTCTGTGTCTCCGTCGTTCTGCAATTACACCCCCAAACGCTAGTTGCCGGTAGCGCTACAGCGTCCACTGTGTTGACTTCTGTCAGCTGAGCTAGGCTAACTTCCTGTTAGCCCTCCGCTACCTTGAATGGGAGTAAAATTGTAAATGCGCGGCTATTAAAGACTTTTCAAATGGTACTGAACCAAAGGATCATTCTGACAGTGAAACGAGTCATTTCGCTCGGGTTGTGGTTCTCAAATATATCGAACACGGTGGTTACAGCCGCCGGTTTGGCCGCTAGTAAACGCACAGAGCACTTCCTGTCGGCTCGGAGGCGTTACAAGGTTACACAGCCGACCAATCACAGTTCTTACGGCCCGCGTCACCTCGACGTGTAGTTACAATTTTGAGGAGGTGCACGTCAGGCTATGGCGTGGCGTACGTCGACTCGATGCAGAAGTATTACTTCAACCTCAAGCGCCAGTCTTTTCCTAAATCAGTCGCTCTGTTTCCTAAATCTCCCCAAACTAAAACCCTTTTTTGAGTTTTTAAAACGTGACGTGACGTCTAAACTCATCTCACAGGCTGAAATGAAAGTTTTGATGGTTGAAACAGAATGATGTGTGTGTAAAACAAGTTAGTCCCACATACAACTACCTACAATCTGATTGGTTGGTTGTTTCTCCTCCGTCTGCTCATGTCTGTTTGTGAATGGACAGAATCTAACAGCATTCAGATCGTCATGCTGGGGAAATAACATTTAGACAACTATTGAATAAACCGGTCTTTGATCAGGTGCCGACGTGGACGACCAGACTACGTTCATGACTTTAATTAAAGGTTAAAGTGACGAGGTTACATCAGCGGTGTTTGGCTCGCCGCAATCTGATCCGCTGCCAGCTGACCCGGGATCAGCAGGACACGTCACGCTGGTTTCAACGAGCTTTAATTAACATTCAAACATGTATTTGTCACATACACAGCGTGCAGAGACCTGCTTCTTCCAACAGAAGCTCTCAGACTTCACAGTTTGATGGAAGTGAAGTGGAA